GTCCAGGGATGATTCTATTCCCAACACAAGAGCCCACATATAAACAAGGCTCTTTCTGAACAGATGCTTCTCTCCTCAGTCTCCTTCTCCCCCATTATCTATGCTGAGGATTCTGGGCACTTAACATTATTATTATTGTTATTATTTTACACATTTATTTATTTATTTATTTTTGGCTGTGTTGGGTCTTCGTTGCTGCATGCAGGCTTTCTCTAGTTGCAGCGAGCGGGGGCTACTCTTCATTGTGGTGCATGGGCTTCTCATTGCAGTGGCTTCTCTTGCTGCGGAGTGCGGGCTCTAGGCGCACGGGCTTCAGTAGTTGTGGCACGCAGGCTCAGTAGTTGTGGCTCGTGTGCTTTAGAGCACAGGCTCAATAGCTGTGGCACATGGGCCTAGTTGCTCCGCGGCATGTGGGATCTTCCCGGACCAGGGATTGAACCCGTGTCCCCTGCATTTGCAGGCGGATTCTTAACCACTGCGCCACCAGGGAAGTCCCAACATTATTATTAATATCAATATAATCTTAAATAGAAGCCAACACTTCCTCTGTGGTAACTGTTAGGTTCTGGGCTAATAAAGACATACTGTGCACAATCTCTTTAAATCCTCACAACTGCCAGATGAGGTCAGGAATCTTTGTCGCTTTTCATAGATGATGAAACTGAAGCCCTTTACAGAGAGGGAAGTCCTTTACCCAAGACTCCCCAGCAGGTTGGGGACAGGGTGGGTAAGTGAATCCACACCTGTCAGATTCAAGAGCCCAACCCTGTCCTCTATTCTGGCTGCTTCCCAGAGACTCAGTAACAGATACTGTTCATCAGGAATTACTATGGCCCTGCTCTGCCCTGCCCTGTGGGGGTGAGGGGTCCCTTCGGTGCCTAGAAGAGTGCCAGGTTAGACCAGTATTTGTGGAATAAACAGTTGCAAATGTCCTTCAGTCCTCTCAACTAACTACCCAAGGGGAGGGTACCACTAGTTCTGTTTTACAGAAGCAGAGGCTTGGAGAAGGGCACACACGGTGGAGCTGGGACACAAATCCAGATGGCTGACACCAACCATGGCTTGGATCTTAACCACCTACCTTTCCCAGAATCACTGCCACCTCCCGCCTGCAGTCACAATAAGGCTTTCTTAGCACTCACGCATGCCAGGTACTGTTCTATACACAGAAGGGCCCATGGAATCCTTCCCACAGCCCTCAGAGGTAGGCAGCATTATACATTCTACAGACGGAAAAGGCGAGGCCCAGAGAGATTCATTGAAGACTTCAGGCTCTGAACTCAGGATCGGTGATCAGAGGCCGAGGCCCACCCACTCACTCACCCTGCCAGGTAGGCCACGTGGCCTGTGCTGGGGTCACAGGTTAGGCCATTGCTGTTCTGGGCTGTGATGCCAAGCACCTTCTCAAGTGATACCTGCAGGGAAAAGGCCCAAATTAGAAGCAGCTGCCCCAGCAGGCCCCACGTGGCACAATCACCTCAGCCACCCATTCAATCCCTGTCACTCCAACACATTCACTGAGCGTCTAGAGTCATCTACCAGCAACTAAAGCTTGTCCTCCTCAAATGCTGCTTTGATAAATACAGTGCTAGGTGAAGGGCACAGGATGGTGAGGAAGATAGACAAAAAAAATCCCTGTCCTCCTGGAGCTCCCATTCTGGGGGTGATGGGATGGTGGACATCGAAAATGAACAGAACAAATATGTAAAACAGATGTCAGGTGACGATGGGAGCATTAGAGAAAAATTAAGCAAGGAAGGAGATTGAGAGTACAGAGGAAGGGGAGAAGGCCTCACTGAGAAGGTGAATAAGACTCTAAGTATTTTATATGAATGAAAGACTTGACAGCCCACAACACTGCAAAGAAGGTGCTATTATCACCACTATTTTACAGATGAGGACAGAGGCCCAAGGTCCCACCCCCGTGGAGTGGCAAGGTTGGGATACAAACCCAGGTAGTCTCTGGCTTCAAAGCCAGCACTTTGTGCAGCACTTTGCTTACAGCAGTGAACAAAAGTGGACACTGTCTGTTCCCTCAATAAATTCACAGTCTAGAGGTTCAACGAGTAAAGAAACAAGTGAACTTGAACAATCGCATTTAAAATTTTAAAATTCTCTAAGCAAGATAAGTCAAATAAGCCAGTCCCCATCATGGCTGATTAAACAATTTAGAGGATGAACTAACAAACTGTGGTATTTTCATATTCTGAAGAGACTAGTTTCTAATTATTATAAAGTAAAACATTCTCAAGCAAGGTGGTGGGCCTCAGAAATGAAAGGCAAATATAAGATAGTAATAACTAATATTTATTGAGCATCTAACCAGGAGACAGGCACTGTTTAAATACTGTATTAACTTATTTAATGCTCACAACAACCCTGTGATGTGGTCACTATCATCATCATCATCTCCACCTTACAGATGAGGAAACAGAGACCCATGAGGGTAATCCATCTGGAAGGAGCAGTGCCAGGACTAACCCAGGCAACCAGGCAATGGCAGTCACATTTTTTTAATCTGTTAATCAGCATTACTGGGCATTAGCATAGCTGGTAATTTTTAGACTAGGTCTTTCGCAAGCTGGATGGACCCCTACACCACCAAACAAGAAAAATAAATGACATCAATCACCCAAAATATTGAATACACAATCACAGCAGTAACTAACACCAAGAGAGTACTTACAGTGTGCCAGCTGTTGTTCTAAGTACTTAAGATATGTGAGCTTACTTAAGATATGTGAGCTTACTTAATCTTCACCAGTACCCTATAAGGGAACACTTATATTATTATCCTCATTTTACAGATGAGGAAACTGAGGCACAGAAAAGATCAGGAAAGGAAGAACAGAACTAAGGTTAAAGCCTAGGCAGTCTGGGTTCAGAGGCGGTGCTCTTAACCACCTTGTTATACTGCATCTCTGAAATTACTATTGTTATTCCTCTCCTTTATACACGTTAGAGCCCAGAAGGCACTTTCAGGAACATACAACATAAGGGCTATGAAGTACAGGGTTCTGGGTGAGAGACTTAGGTGGGGGTCTGCTTTAGGCTGGGGTTCAAGAAGGCCTTTCAGGGTAGGGATATTCAGGCTGAGACTCGAGGGATAGGAGCCAGCCAGGTCGACTGCAGCAAAAAGCCCAGAGAGAGGACTCACCAAACACAAAGGCTAAGAGGCGGAAAAGAGATTGGAGCCTCAGGAAAACAGAAAGCAGGCCAGTGTGACTGAACCTTCATGAGAGGGAAGCCAAGGGAAGTATGGCGAGAGAAGTGGGCAGAGGCCGCTTGCCTAGCGCCTTGCACCCAGGAGTGGGTGATATAATCAGAGTGTAGCAGAAAGCCACGGAGGAGGAACAAGATCCACAGCAGCTACCAAGTACTGACCCTCTACCTGGACTTTGTGCCAAGTAGGTCATATTCACAATCTTGTCGCATCTCCCTGCAACACCATGGTTATCGTTATCTCCATTTTATAAAAACAGACTTTGCAGCTCAGGGAGTTGGAAAACGATTTTTTAAATTGCTGCTGTGCTACTGGAATTTCTTCTACCTACTCTAAAATCTTTGTTTCTGTGTCTCAGGATTTAAGGAACTGTTCCACACGCCGTCTCCCTAACTCCGGCAGTGCTGCTGAGATTTTACAAATATTACTCACATCCTGTCCATAATTTAGGGTGGCAATATGGACTAAGAATCCCACCTTGGTAAAGGAGAAGGAAAGAGAAGGCAGCGGATGAAGGAAGGCAGGCTAGAGCTGAGGAAGAGTTGGAACAAGTAGGACTCGGGACTGAACCCTGGTAGGGACCCTAAAGACCAAGAGGGGGGTGAGGTCAACAAAAGTGGAAGGATACAAAAGTGGCCCAGAGATACGTCTAAAGGTAACTAAAGGGATAAACAGAACTAGGAGGTGATTAGCAAAACTAAAATGCGCTCCAGGGTACAAGGCCAGGGAGGAACCCCGGCAACGCTCCAAGGGCTAAGGGTGTGGCCAGGGTTTGAGAAGTGGGAGTAGGAACGACGGGCACTACCCGAGAGAGGAGGAGACAGGGCAGTGGGATGAGCCTTGGCAAAGGGGGCGGGGTTTAGAGGACTAGTCGGGTCAGAGAGCAACTAGAGGGGGTACCAACCGGGGGCTGAGAGGCGGGGCCAAAGATCTAAGGGCGGGACCAAGGGAGACCCAGGGGAACCTGGAACTGAGATGGGCAAGGCAAGCAGCTCCTCACCCGGTTCTGCACCGTGTCCTCGGGCGCCGCCGAGAGTCTCGTCCGCCGCCGGAGGCAGAGCGGTAGAACGGGGGGCGGGGAGGACTGGGCCCTCCGCGCCGGAACTCCCGCCATGATGGATGGCAACTTCTCGACTGCGTCGTTCCGCGCGTAGCCTCCGGGCCCCAAGGCCGCCATCGTCACTCCGGAGCCCGGCGACCGTTACACTCCTCAACTGCCACCGAACAGCGAACGGCCGCGGGAAAGCCGGCGCCGCCGCCCATTGGACGCGGCCGGCTGCCGGTCTGGCCAATCTCAGGGTTGCCAGGCGGCGCTTTTGACCAATGAGAGCTAAGAGTCGGAGCGGAGGGTCTGGCAGGGTGGAGCCACGGCTCCTCAGCTTGATACTTGATCGAGCGTTGTGGAGTTTTTTTTAAATCCCGTCTGTGTTTTCATCTTTCAATAAATATCAGGTTTTAACTTTTACGAAGCTAATGCCAAAGCCTCCTCGCCTCGCTTTTTGCTGCCCCCCCACCCTCACCGAAGGGCGACTATCCGCGCAGTGGCAGTCGCCCGGATGTAAGCGTAGGGTGGAGCCGAAAGACTGAAGAGTTGGCGCAGACTCAGAAACTCCCCCATCATGTGATGAGGTCCGGGTGGCTAAGAGCCGGCTTTGAGCAGACATTCTCGCTTGTCTCCATTTGCCACGTGACGAGGGCGTAGCTGTGGTAACACGGCCTGGCGCGCAGTACGCAGGCACGTGACGAGGCCCCTTACGTCAGGCACGCTGCAAGCGTGCGGGCGGGGCGGGGTTCTGCGGCGCCCGGCGAGGACCAAAGTGCGACTTCAGACCGAGCAAAAGCCAGTTGGGTTGGACAGCCATGCCCAAGTACTGCCGGGCTCCGAACTGCTCCAACAATGCGGGCCAACTGGGCGCGGACAACCGCCCGGTGAGCTTCTACAAGTGAGCACAAGCGAGGGGCGGGCCTTGCAGGGAGGCGGGGCCCTGTGGGGGCGGGCCCGAGGGTAAATGCAGCAGGGCGGGGGACCTAGTCCATCTTGCCGGTGTCTGGAAGCAGGGTTAGCAGGTTGAAGAGACCGTGTTCCCAGTGTTTCACTAACAGTAGACACCGCACATGTAAAGGTGCAGATGTGTGAAACAGCAGGGGTAGACGATTAACTGCAGGTAGTGAACGGGGCGAGCGGAGGAATGGGAGGGCCGTGAAGACAGAAGTGAGGTTGGTCCAGGCTCAGAAAGAGCCTACAGTTGCCCACTCGCCATCCCCACGGATTTGAGGCATCTCAAACTCAAAACATCCGAAACCAAGCTCCTGATTTTGTCTCTCCTAAAACCTCCCATATCCTTTATTATCCTAGTTAATAGCTTTCCATCCTTACCGTCTTTCAGGCTAGAAACCCTTAGAGTCATCTTTACTTCTTCTCTTTTCTCACACTTGAGAAAGTAAAAATTAGCTTGAACTGTAAAACAAAAAAAACCCAATAACAAAAAACCTGCTCTCATTTATTTGGCTGGAATGACAGACACGGGAAAAGCTAGCTGAAGAGTTAATAGGAAAAAAAATTTTCTGTATTTTTCTCAGGGACGTGTTGCAGATGTAAAGTGACAAAACTCCCCTTCTTTTTTTTTTTTTGCGGTACGCGGGCCTCTCACTGTTGTGGCCGCTCCCGTTGCGGAGCACAGGCTCCGGACGCGCAGGCTCAGCGGCCATGGCTCAAGGGCCCAGCCGCTCCGCAGCATGTGGGATCCTCCCGGACCGGGGCACGAACCCGTGTCCCCTGCATCGGCAGGGGGACTCTCAACCACTGCGCCACCAGGGAAGCCCAAAACTCCCCTTCTTTTGAGTGACTGCTGCTTTCTTACTAGGAAGCTTTGTTCTCTAAAATCGTAGGCCATCACAAACTGCTGTTTGAAATTACATCAGTAAGAATGAAACATCTTACTTAAGGTTTGGAGAAGTTGAGTCACTTTGACACAGAGAAGCAACCTTGATTTACAGTCCAGGTGCAGAGCTTCAGGTAAGGGGTTCTGGACACAGTATTCCTCATCTATCCAAACTTTATTGCTTCCAAGGAGACGGACCCTGGGTCCACTTTGTAATCCAGGTCTGATATTGATCCCTTTACACACAGTTCTGCTTTGCTTTGAGCCTATCCAAACACTGTTTCACTTACATTTCACCTAAATTTCACCTATTCACCAAACCCAAATAATAATTATTTTCCTCTGTTTGATGAAACTCCCCACAGTATCTCTGGTGTACAGTTCCCTTATTGCTGTGGTAAATAAACGTGACTTCCCTAGACTACATGTTTGTCCCTGGTGGCCTTAGTCTAAGTGGGCCAGGACACATTTCCTCATCCAGTCCATTAGCAAATCCTGTTGGCTCTCCCTTCAAAGTCTATCAAGAATTTACCACTTCTAACCCCCTTCCTTGCCCCCACCCTGGTGTTGGCCAGTGTCACCTCCTGACTGCATGACTGCACTATTTTAGTAGCCTCTCCATTTGTCAACCTGCTCCCACAGTCTGTTCAGGGCTCAGATCCCCTCCCCAGCTCCCACCTGACTCTGTAAAGACAAGAAGGTGAGGCTGGAGCAGGCAGAGAACAGGTCTACAAAGCCCTACAGGAGCTGGGTCCCCACTCTCTGTCTGACCTCATCTCCTCCCTCCTGCCCCTTACTTAACTCCGCTCCAGTGTCACTGGCTTATTCGATGTTCCTCTAGCATGCCAGGCACAGTGTTGCCCCAGGGCCTTTCCCTGTTCTGAACAGCCTGTGCTGTTCCCTCTGCCTGGAAAGATCTTCCCTTTATGACCACCACTCTGTAAAATGATAACCCTCTCCCGTACATACATATTCTCCCTATTCGCCTCCTGCTTTATTTTTCCCTTTAACATTTACCACTTTCTGGCATACCACATATTTGATATATTCATTTATTGGCTCCTCCACTAGAATGTCAGCTCCATGAAGGCAGGGATGTTTTCCTGTCTTATTCCCTGTTGTGTCCCCACCACCTAGAACAGTGCCTGGCATGTAGTGGGTGCTCAGTAAATATTTGTTGGATGAATTCGATGAATGCATTTCAGGTGGGCTCCTCAGGAAACTCAGAATGCCATGTCCCAGCTATCCCTTGAGGGACCCTGGTTCAGGGGAGGAGGAGGGCAGAGGAGTTTTTGGACCTAAATCAGTATGTCCAGACTTGCTTTTTAATATATATCACTCTGACATCGTTTATTAAGTCAGCAACTCCGAGTGTCTCCTGTAGTAAGTAAGCTCCTGCTGGACACAAAGGACCCTGACAGATCTTGTTCCTGCCCTGACAGAGCTCATGGATAGGTGCGGGGTCAGTCATTGAGAACTGAGGACACAAGTTGATCCTTTCTCTTCTTCAGCACCACTGCCCCCAATCTAGTCCATTAATCCATCCTTTGACTCTACCCTCCAAAACAGTCCCATCCTGCAGCAATCACAACAAAAGCCCTAACTCCTTGGCAATACAGTTATAAATGCAAATGGCAGAATCCTCACTAAACTATTAGGAAATAAGGATTAGGAAATAAGGAAAGAAAACCCACCACATTCCTAGTCTGACCACTTCTTATCACCTCTGCTGTCACAGCATAGCCCAGGCTGCCATCATTTCTTTCTTTCTTTCTTTTATTTATTTTGGCTGTGCTGGGTCTTAGTTGCAGCATGCGGGATATTTAGTTGTGGCATGTGGGATCTTTAGTTGTGGCACGCGGACTTCTTAGTTGCAGCATGTGGACTTCCTAATTGTGGCATGCATGTGGGATCTAGTTCCCTGACCAGGGGTCGAACCCGGGCCCCCTGCATTGGGAGCGCGGAGTCTTACCCGTTGGACCGCCAGGGAAGTCCCCATCATTTCTTAATGAGATGCTGTGATAGATGCTTGCTGGTCTCCCTACTTCTACACTTGCTTCCCTTACAGCGATGACAATAATAACTTGGTTAAAGAGCACTTACTGTATGCCAGGTAAGTGTTCTAAGTGCTTCACACATAATAATAAGGAGAACAGTGAGAACTGTGCATGGCAGCCAGGTGACCGTATAAAAATCAGTTCATGCCTGTGTTGTTTAAATCCCACCAGTGGCTGCCAGGCTGTTCCTCACACAGGCTGACCCATTCCCACCTCAAGGTCCATCCCTGAGTCATTCTTGAAGAAGCCATTTAGCTAAGAGTTTGGTGAGGAGCAGTCTCCAAAGGAGATTCAAGAGAGGGCATGGATGCTAGGAAGGAACAAGGTGAAACACTGAGGGAAGTGGCTGCTAGGAAGTAACTCAAAATTCCTGCCTGGGTGCCAAAGGAAACATTCATTAGTTGTGATTTAGGCCCTTTCAGGAACAAATGACAGTCATCTCTCATGGCAGGGGGAGGTGTCTCACAGGTAGGAATTGCATCTGTCTGGCAGTAACAAAGTCCTGAAATAATAGTGGCTTTACCAAATGACGGGGTCTATAGGAATCAGCGTGGTTAGGTTATGCTACAGTAACAAATTCACAGAATCTCAGTGGCTTACCACAGCAAAGGTTTATTCCTCACTCACACTAATGTCCTTTGTCGGCCATTTGTGGCCCTTCTCTACTGTATCTTAATTGGGGATTCAGGCTGAAGGAGCCTCCCCTACCTGGAGTATTGGTGGTCTTGTGGGAGGGGGAAAAGAGAAAGTGGGGAGAATCACCCAGTGGCTCCTGGTAAATTGCATATTTAGAAGTGGCCCATATCACTTTTACTTCTTTGGCCACAGCAAGTCTATGGCAAGCGTCAGGTCAGTAGAGTGGAAATGTGTATCTTCGTGTGGGGAAGGGCAGCAAATGTCTTGAACAATAATACAGTCTACCACAAGGTTTATTTTTCTCTCACATGAAGCAAGTATAGAGGTTGGCAGATGAGCACTGGTGTGGCAGTTCCACAGTCATCAGGGATGAGGGTCCCATCTTTCATATCCATCCAGTGGCTGCCAAGTACCTCAGCCATCATGCCCAACCATTTCTGGTAGGGAGAAAAGAGAAGGGATGAAGAGCAAAAGAGACACAACTCTAAACTGAGCTGGTCCCCTTTACAAAGCCTCAGAAATCCCACCCAACGGTAGGTTCTTCATCATTGGTCACCTCCCCCCAAAAAACTGCAAAGGAGCCTGGGAAATGTAGTCTTTTGATGGGCAGTTAACCACCCTGAAGACATTCTGAGTTATGTTAGTAAGGAAGAAAAGAAGAACTCTTAGCAGTGCTGTAGATAGAATGGCCAACAAGACTAAAATATTCTATAAAAAAAGGAGGACACTGGCTGTGCACTTAAGGTAGAATTTTAGAGAGGGACATTTCCTATCATAAATGTTGCCATCTAGAGGAACAAAAGAGAATAAAACCAAGACCAAATTAGGAAGAGGTTTTCTATGATATTACTTTCCTCCTTTGCGCCTTGAGCTGCTTCTGATTCCATTTGAGAACCCTCTCACATTTAAGGTACCATCCTAGATGTCTCACCCAACATGGCCAGAACTTAGTTACGTGGCCCACCTACTGCAAAGGAACCTGGGAGACAGTCGTCTAACAGGGCACATTATGGCCTCAAAAAAGTTGGAGTTTGTTAGGAAGAAGAAGAGAGTGGACGTGGAGTAATCAGTTGGCAGTCTCTGCCCAGGAGTAGGTGGGAAGTGCTGGTACAAGGGATTTCATGTTCGTGTCCAGGCAGAAGGAGGCTGGTGAGAACATTTGGATCTCAGATTGAGGGTGAAGGAACTGCATCGGCCAGAGTTCCTGGCTCTGTGCCCTGGGGTTCTGCTCTTTGGATGCCACGCTCTCCTCTGAGTCAGCTCTTCTGTCCTCATTCACCAGCTATCCCCCACTTCCCTCTCTGTCTGCCTTTCGCCTGAGAAGCCTTCCTTTGCTCCCCACCAACAATCTCTGTCCATCCCATCCACCTCCTACCCACTGGTGGCCTCTTTACTTTCTTATGTGTCTTTCCCAGTGTTTCTTTATGCAAATGCAAGCAAATCTGAACATATGTTCTTGTTTCCCCCTTTATTACTTTGTTAGTTTCCTATGGCTGCTGTTACAAACTCCTGGTGGCTTAAAACAATAGGAATTATTCTCTCACAATCCAGATCAGTTTTACTGGGCCAAAAATCAAGGTGTCAGCAGGGCTGCATTCCCCAGGAGGCTCTAGGAGAAAATCTGTTCCTTGCATCTTCCAGTTTCTGGTGTCTGCAGGCATTCCTTGGCTTTTGGCCACATCACTCCAATCTCTGCTTCTGTCATCACATTGCGTCTCCTCTTTTATCTGTGGTAATATGTTCTTCTGCTTCCCTCTTAAAAGAATACTTGCAACTGCTTTTAGGGCCAACCCGGATGATGTAGAGGATAATTTTACCCATCTCAAGATCCTTAACTTAATCACATCTTTTGTCATGAAATGCAATATTCACAGGCTCCGGGGATTAGGACATGGATGTCTTTTGGGGGACCGTTATTCAGGCTGCCACAATTACTAAAAGCTGATATACTCTATTTGGAACCTTGCTTTTTTCACATAATGTATGCCTGACAATAGCATATCAGTTCATACAGTGCCTTCAGCCTATTTTAGAGCTGCATGGTATTCTTTGTGTGCATATGCCTGAGTTTATTTGTCCTGTCTCCTATGGATGGGATTGTCCCCCACCCTCTAACACTCCTTACTCTTTCCTTTTTAACAGAGAGAGAGCAGGCCTTATAGCCCTCAGCAAGTAAAGGTATCAGGTGTTTTTATGGTTAACTCCTATTTATGGAATTGATACTGGTATTCCATTTTCAATTGTGGTTTAAAGTTTCTCTTTTAGGTATCTTCATTTAATACTTAAGTTGGTCAATTTTAAGAAAAATATTAAGTAAATAATGTCACAGGACTTCCCTGGTGGCGCAGTGGTTGAGAGTCCTCCTGCCGATGCAGGGGACACAGGTTCGTGCCCTGGTCCGGGAAGATCCCACATGCCGCGGAGTGGCTGGGCCCGTGAGCCATGGCTGCTGAGCTTGCGCGTCCGGAGCCTGTGCTCCACAGCGGGAGAGGCCACAATGGTGAGAGGCCCGCGTACCGCAAAAAAAAAAAAAAAAAAAAAAAGTCACAGATATGGAAGACATTGTGAAGGTGGGATGTGGATGACTGACTGTATTAGTTACCTAATGCTCCATAACAAACTATCCCAACATTTAGCAGCTTAAAATAAACCTTTAATGTTTCACAGTTTCTGGCAGCTCCCACAGAACAAACTGGCCAGAACTTAATCATGTGGCCACCTCTAGCTGCAAATGAAGCTGGGAAATGAGGTCTTTATTGTGGACAGTCTTGAACCAAGGTCTAAATAGAAAGTGAATTGCTATAAAAGAGGGCAAAAAGAGACGTTGGGGACAGTGGCACCAGTTAATGGGTGGCACTACTTCTTATGGACACAGAAGTAGTTGGGTGCCTGTAGAGGGTGCCTTATCAGATAATCCCTATCCACTTTTATTTAATTCATTAAAAAAAAACTTTAAAATTAAAAAATTTTTTAATTGTGGTAAAATACACATAACATAAAATCTCCCCTCTTAACCATCTTTAAATTCAGTAGTATTAAGCATGTTCACATTGTTGAGCAACCAATCTCCAGAACTTTTTCTTTCTTTTTTTTTTTTAAATTTATTTATTTATTTTTGGCTGCATTGGGTCTTCATTGCCATGTGCAGGATTTCTCTAGCTGCGGCGAGCAGTGGCTTCTCTTGTTGCAGAGCACGGGCTCTAGGCACACGGACTTCAGTAGTTGTAGCACACAGGCTCAGTAGTTGTGGCTCGTGGGCTCTAGAGTGCAGGCTCAGTAGCTGTGGCGCATGTGCTTAGTTGCTCCGTGGCATGTGGGATCTTCCTGGACCAGGGATCGAACCCATGTCCCCTGCGTCGGTAGGCAGATTCTTAACCACTGCACCACCAGGGAAGTCCCTCCAGAACTTCTCCATCTTGCCAAACTGAAACTCTATACCCATTGAACAAGAACTCCCAATTTCCCTCCCCCTCCCCCCAGCCCCTGGCAACCACCATTCTACTTTCTGTTTCTCTGAATTTGACTACTTTAGATACCCCATATAAGTGGAATCATACAGTATTTGGGTTTTTTGTGACTGGTTTATTTCACTTACCGTAATGTACTCAAGATTCATCCATGTTATAGTATGTGTCAGAATTTCTTTCCTTTTTAAGGCTGAATAATATTTCATTGTATGTATATACCACCTTTTGCTAATCCATTTGTTGATGGACCCTTGGGTTTCTTCCCACTTTTGGCTATTGTAAATAATGCTATTATGCACATGAGTATGCGCATATCTCTTCGAGACTCTGCTTTCAATTTTTAGGGGGTGTGTATCCAGAAGAGGGATTGTTGGATCATACGGTAATTCTATTTTCAATTTTTTGAGGAACAGCCATACATAGAGGCTGCTCCATTTTACATTCCCACCAGCTGCGCACAGGGTTCCAGTTTCTGCTCGCCCTTGCCAACACTTGTTATTTTGTGTTTGTTTGTTTTTGTATAGTAGTCATTCTAATGGTTATGAGGTGATATCTTGTGGTTTTGTTTGGCATTTTCCTGATGATAAATGATGTTGAGCATGTTTTCATATGCTGGTTGGCCATTTGTATCTTCTTTGGAGAAATGTCTGTTCAAGTCCTTTGCCCATTTTTTAATCGGGTTATTTGTTGTTGTTGTTTAAAAACTTTTTAACATGTTTTCAAGCATACACAAAAAATAGAGTTGTTTAAATGAATCCTCGTGCATCTATCACTCATTTACACCAGTTGTCAACATTTTGCTAATGTTTTTCATCCACCTTCCTCCCATGTACATCTTTTTTTTTTTTTTAACATCTTTATTGGAGTATAATTGCTTTACAATGGTATGTTAGTTTCAGCTTCACAACAAAATGAATCAGTTATATATATACATATATTCCCATATCTCTTCCCGCTTGCGTCTCCCTCCCTCCCACCCTCCCTATCCCACCCCTCCAGGCGGTCACAAAGCACCGAGCTGATCTCCCTGTGCTATGCGGCTGCTTCCCACTAGCTAACTACCTTACGTTTGGTAGTGTATATATGTCCATGCCTCTTTATCGCTTTGTCACCGTTTACCCTTCCCCCTCCCCATAGCCTCAAGTCCATTCTCTAGTAAGTCTGTGTCTTTATTCCTGTTTCACCCCTAGGTTTTACATGACATTTTTTTTTTTAATTCCATATATATGTGTTAGCATACGGTATTTGTCTCTCTCTTTCTGACTTACTTCACTCTGTATGACAGACTCTAGGTCTATCCACCTCATTACAAATAGTTCAATTTCGTCTCTTTTTATGGCTGAGTAATATTCCATTGTATATATGTGCCACCCATGTACATCTTTAATGCAGTATTTTAAAGTAAATTCCAGACATTAGGTCTTTTATCCATAAATATTTCAGAATATTTTTCCAACAGATGACTATTTAGAAGGTTAAACCAATGTAATTATCACACCTAGCAAAATTAACTTCTTACAATCATCTAATACCCAATTCATGCTCAGTTTCCCCCAATTGTATTAAAATGTCTTTTTACAGAATGGCTTGTTGCAGACAAAGTCCACATCTGCCTTTGGACTGATATTTCTTAAATCTCTTTTAATCTATAATCCCACCCCTACCCCCATGAATATGGGATCTCCCACATTCTAGATTTGTCCAATTCTGTAAACTGCCTCCTGAGATTCATATGGAGGAACAGACTGGAGGGGAAGGGAGAGTGACAGTGGGTAAAGAGACCAGGAAGGAGACTGTTGCAAAAACCCAGCCAGGGGAGGCTGGAGGCTGGATGCGAGGGTCAGCGGAGGTGGGAGAGGTGGGCTGATGCTGGGTGTTTAAAAGGTGGAGCCTGAAGAACTGGATGTGAGTAGGAGGTTGAGAGCCTGGTTGGGAGGCAGGGCCAGATTCTGGCCCAGGGGAGGCAGAGGTTTGGAGCTCAGGGACCTCTGGGTGTGCGTATCCTCATGGAGGGGTGGGGTTGGACCTGATCTCGCTGACCCCGCCCCCCGGCAGGTTCCCCCTGAAGGATGGTCCCCGGCTGCAGGCCTGGCTGAGGCACATGGGGTGTGAGCACTGGGTGCCTAGCTGCCACCAGCACCTGTGCAGCGAGCACTTCGCCCCCTCTTGCTTCCAGTGGCGCTGGGGCGTGCGCTATCTGCGGCCGGATGCTGTGCCCTCCATCTTCTCCGGAGCGCCGCCCGCCAAGGTGAGCTCAGGAGAGTCCCATTGCTGGAGTCTGATCCCCCGCCCTCCCCTCTGAGGGAGGTCCCTCCTGCAGGCTGACTCTCAGCCCTCCACTCCTGAGGAATTTTCCTTGGAGTCCGGCCCTGATGTCCTCGATCCCCCATCCCTTGCCTTGTCTTCCAGAGGCAGACGAATTCCCGAAGCACCGAGAAACCAGTCGTGCCTCCAACTCCGCAGGAGGCCACGTCCCTGTCCCCTGGTCCAGCCGTCCCGGCCCCTGGCCCCGTACAGCTTGTGGTGTTGGGGCCAGCATCCGGGGGCCTCGAGATCCCAGCCACCGTGTTCCTGACTCCCCTGCCGCTTCCGCCGGTTCCCACGGGGCCGCGCCCTGGAGTGTCGGCCCAGCACCCCTGGCCCGGGCTGGGCGCGGCGCTGGGAGCGCTGCAGCGGCGGGTGCGGAGGCTCCAGCGGCGCCACGAACGGCACCAGGCGCGGCTGCGGGCTCTGGAACAGCTGGCGAAGCAGCTGCGCGCGGAGAGCCTACTGGCGCCGGCGCACCGGGGCCGGCTGCGCGCGGTGAGTGCCCTGCCTGGCCCACACAGTGGGTGTGCTTTCAGCTAAACTAGAGTCCAGAGTTGAAAGTCAGAACATTTCACCCGTGTTTCCAAATTTCTGGCTTGAAAAAAATCAGTATGGCAATGCCAAGCAACTATCGGTGGGAGCTGAGTAGTGGCTGCTCCATTTATTAATAATATTATAATATTTAAGCAGCCCTTACTCTCTTCTAGACACAGAGTAAATAACTTATTGAAAACTCACTATGACCTTGATATTGAAACTGCTCTTGTCCCCATTTTCCATATGAAAAAACTGAAGCACAGAGTGGTCCAGTAACTTGCCCAAAGCCAGGCAGTCAGTAAGTTGCAGAGCCAGGATTCAAACCCAGGTGTCTGGCCCCAGAGGAGGCCTGTGCTCCTCTGTGGGAGAGCTCCCTGCCTGGCCCCTATAGAGCTTGAGTTTGCAACTCTATACTAGAGTATCCCAGGCCCTATCTAAGGCCCTTTGCCCCTATGTTTTACTGCTGAGTATTTTCGGGCGTGGGGAGTGGAGGGGATCATGTCTTTTTTTATTTGGCCACACCACGCGGCTTGTGAGGTCTTAGTTCCCCGACCAGGGATCGAATCCATGCCCCCTGCAGTGGAAGCACAGAGTCCTAACCACTGCACCACCAAGGAATTCCCAAGGGGACCATGTCTTTAAAAATCAAAATTTGACCAGGCCTTTTTCCTGCTTAAAACCCCAGGGTCAAGCTTGAGGTCCCAGGGCCCTTGTTCCTGCCTGGACAAGGGAGGTGGGAGGGGGTTTCAGAAAGCCCCTGAGGTACCTCTGTAGCTAAGGTGTCTCAACCTGACAGCCAGTGGGTTGGGCCTGACCCACAGATGTTATTCTTTTGGCCTCAGTAATGCTGTAAAATATTTTCTGGTCTTTCCTGAAGGCTCAGCAAATCTAGCAGCACTGGGTTCGCATCCCCAGATAGTAGCAGTCAGCTAGAGCTGCAGTGGCTGTCCCCGGAGGCTTCATGTTTGAGACTGTGGCCTGAACCATGCGGGAGCACAAGAGGGACATACGAGGGGGTGGGGGTGGGGGCAAGGACATAACTCAGACTCAGGCCTGCGGCTCTTCATGGAGCCTGCCAGGGCCCCTGGGCTGACAGTGTCTCTCTCTGCCTCCCCTGTCCCCATTCTATCCCTGTCTCTCAACCTCTTCCTTTCTCTCCCACATTCATCTTTGTCTTTCTGCCCCCTATGTCTCTGTCATCCCATCTATCTCCCCACTTCCCATGTCTCTCTTCTCTCCCACATTCATCTTTGTCTTTCTGCCCCCATGTCTCTGTCATCACATCTATCTCCCCACTTCCCATGTCTCTCTTCATCTGCATCTTTATCCCCCATATCCATATCCCTGTCTCCCTGCCCCTACATTTCTCCCACCCCCCATATCTGTCTCTCCGTGTCTCTCTTCCCCCACATCTCTCTCCCTGTTTCCCCATACCTCTTTATACCCTCATGAATGTCTCTCTGGTTCTCACATCTCTCTCCTCACACCTCTCTCTGCCCATATCTCTCTCTGTCTCCTGACACCTCCCTCCCACCTCTACCTCCCTGTTCCTCACCATTTCTCCCCCTGCCCCCACTTTTTCCTTCCCTCCTTCCCTCCCCTCACTCCCCTCATTCCCCTGTGTCCTCCATCTCTACTACTTCTTTGCCTTGGACGGCCCAGCTCCCTGGACCTGAGGAGTCCCAAGCCTTCACCATCATCTGTGGAGGGCCTGACATAGCTGTGGTCCTCGCCCAAGGTCCTGCACCTCCCACCCTGGACGCCAAGCCTGAGCTCCTGGACACTCAGACTGCCAGTGCATAAGGACCAGGACAGATGACAGAAGACAGAGGAAGAGAGATGCATCAAACATGGGCTTGGCCCAGCCCCATGACCCATGCCTGGGGCATAGCAGTGCCTCCCTCAGGGCCCTGGCTCCCACCACCTCCTCCTAGGGACCCCTTGAACCTTAGGGCTGACCTGGGCCCAAGACCCCTGTCAGCAGTGATTACCCTGGGAACCAGGTCCCAACCCCACCTTCAATCTTTGCGGTCAGTAAAACATTCTCAGAGCAGAGCAAGGGTTGTTCGTTTGGAGAGAGTTGTACCTGGTTCTGAAGAGCCCCTTGTACCCTTTGCCAAGGCTGGTGCCAAGCTGGGGATACAGCAGTGAACACAGCTGACAAAAGTCCTGTCCTCGTGGTGCTCACTTTCTGCTTGAGCAGAAGATGAACTAGTAAATTAATAAACAGTATAATTTCAGGTTGTGATAAGTGCCATAAAGACTGAATGAAAATGTAATGGGCTGGGTGGGAGGGAGGACTCTCTAAGGAGACAGTGTTTGAGCAGACACCTGATGATGAGAAGGAGCTGGCCTGGAAGGCACGTGGACTGGATGTTCCAGGGAGAAGAACGGCCTCTGCGCATACCCTACCATCTAAGGTATAAGCCGGAGGAAGACAGTGTTGCTATGGCAAACACTGAAGCAGGGAAGGGAGTGAGTGTTTGTGTGTGAGGAGGGTGGGGTTGGGACGCAATGTTAGATAGAGCAGAAAAGGTCTCATTGGAAAGGTACCAATAAGCGAAAGCCTAAAAGAGAGGAGTAAGGGAACCAGGTATCTGGGGAAAGAGCATTCCAGGCAGAAGGAGCGCCAGTGCAGAGGTCCTGGGGTGAGGAGGAACAAGGAGGCCAGGGTGGTTAGAGTGGAGTGACTGAGGGGGAGAGTGAGAGGAGGTGAGATTGGAGAGATGACAGGGACGTTCACACAGGGACTTGTGGGTTGTGGTTGAGACATTGGCTGTTACGTGCAGTGAGGTGCAGCAAGCAGATGCCTTTAGGAAGGTCCTGATGTGATAGGTGTGGGTTTTTGTTTTTGTTTTTTTTTTGCGGTACGTGGGCATCTCACTGTTGTGGCCTCTCCCATTGCGGAGCACAGGCTCTGGACGCACAGGCTCAGCGGCCATGGCTCACGGGTCTAGCCGCTCCACGGCATGTGGGGTCTTCCCGGACCGGGGCACGAACCCGTGTCCCCTGCATCGGCAGGCGGACTCTCAACCACTGCGCCACCAGGGAAGCCCTGATAGGTGTTAATAGGTCCCTCTGGCTGCATATTGGAGTGTTGTGGGGAGCTGCCATAGTCCAGGTGGGAGAGGATGAAGGATGGACCAGGATTAGGGCCTGGGACTGGGGTGAGGGATGAAATTCTGGAAATATCTTAATGGAGCTACTGGGCCTGCACATTAGAAGGATGAGAGGTGGAAGGCAAAGTCAGCTAGCCCTGTTCAGGCTGGGTTGATTGTGGACAGTGCAGGCCACAGCCAGTCAGGTGTGACAGCCCAGCCAGGATGATGGGGCCGGGAAGGCCTCATCCCTGGGCTGGCTCCTGGAGGCCTTTCTGGGGGGAGGAGTCCATTGGCAGATCTATCCCCTAGGCACTGCCAAAGCCATGTAGCACGGTGATTAAAAGCCCAGGCGCTATAGCCAGGCCACTGGGATTCAAGTCTTAGCTCCATTACCTGTTTGCTGTATGCCCTTGGGTAAATGGCTTACCTTCTCTGGGTAAATGCTGTGTGTGCACTATGCGATAATGACAATGACAGTGATTATAGGAGTCTCCACAAAGTCATCCCTCTGAGACATCCCTTGTCTAGGGTGGACGTGGAGTAGAGGTCAGGTCTGATATGTCAGAGAGAGACAACACCCACCACTACCACACATCGAGACCCCTGCCCAGACTGGTCTGGTTTGCAGGCCTTCGCAAAGGCGCTATCACAGCGGGATGGACAAAAATCCATGTGCCCGTTTTCCCATCCCTGTCTTTTTGCCCTTGTCCCTGCTTCATCTCTCTCCTGTCTCCATGCCTCACATCCTTCTTCGTGGCCATTTCTTCTACTCCCCGTCCTCGGTGTCTATACCCTTCCCACCGCTGCCTCCAGCCTTTTCATCAATGCAAGCAGCCTCGCAGTGTCTCCGCCCCCGCGCCTGGTTGGGGGTGACAGCGCATGCGCCGTCAGCGCCCCTCCCTCTCCACCCCCATCCCCCGTCGGCGTCCGGGCCTCGTCCCCTTCTCTCTGTCTTCTTCTCCCCCATCACTTCCCCAGACACTGGCACCCCATTACTCCAGTTTCCCCGGTTTCAGCTTTGGTCTCCAGCCCCAGACACCCGAGGTAAGATGGGTAGAGGGGAGGCCCGCGGAGAAGGGGAGGGGCAAAGCATCCTGCATCCTGAGATAAACAAACCGGGGGAGGGGGCGGCCTAGACTGAGGGCCCTGACGCGGGAGGAGAAGAATGGGGGACTGGCCTGGGGGAAGTGGTAGGCGTTGGGCCCACAAACCAGCGTCCTCTGATGGGTGACTGGCGTCCCTATGATTGCCCAAAACCCAGAGCTGGGGGCGTGGGAGCCACCCGGAGCCCGGTGAGCGTCTGGGGGGCTCAGATTCCAGAGACTGGGGCACCCTCTCTAGCTGACCTCTGCCCCCAGGATTTGCCTGAAGGCCACCTCCAACTCTGCACCTGCCCACTGAGGGCCACCAAGGACCATGACTAAGACAGATCCCGCCCCGATGGCCCCGCCGCTCAGGGCGGAGGGAGAAGAGGAGGAGGAGGAGGATGAGCCTGTCCCAGAGCCCCCCAGCCCCACCCAGGAGCGCCGGCAGAAGCCTGTTGTGCACCCCTCGGCACCTGCCCCCCTCCCCAAGGACTACGGTAACCACCCTCCCCACTCAGCAATATGGCCTGGAGCCTTGGGTTGCCAGGGAGGTTTGGCTGAACTCTGCTGGTGGAGATGGTGGGAGGAATCTGGAGGATCTGAAGGTGTTCTGGAGGAGTCGTGGCCCTTGGATTCCCCCCCCTCATTAATTCATTCACCCATTGGAGAATGGAATTGGGATAATCGTAATATTTGATTCATGACACATCATTCAGTCATTTAGTCATTAAACAAGCATTTTTGGCAAGCCTGCTATGGACCTAGGAACTGGGGGCACAGCATGGAGCAAGACAGATCTAGTCTTTGCCTAAGAGAACTCACAGGCCTCAATGACAACCACACAAATAAGTATAAAAATATAAGTACATAATTACAAGCCTTGATGAGAATTGTGTTTGCTAAGAACCGAATTCTGCAAGAGCTTTTTAAGATACGCTTTCCCTGAGGAAGGAACATTTGAGGGAGACTCAAGGATGAATTGAGGGTTAACAAGGGAAAAGATTAGGGGAAGGGGGTCCCAGGCAAGGTCACCGCAGGCGTAAAGGCTCTGAGGTAGGAAGATGTGGAGCTGAGAGGTTGGCCTCTTGGAGAAAAGGGAAGTGTCTGCTCGTTCACCAAGCACTGTTTATCCGTCACCGCTGCTCCGTGACAAGCCTTGTGCTGGGAGAGGGAGATTTAACGGTGAGCAATCCAGGCATGATCCCTGCTCTCAGGAGAGAAGGCAAGACTAAGCAAGTAACAGGTATATAAATCGGGTAAGTTCAGATTGGAGTGGATGCTATGAAAGAAAGAAAAGATGGAGATATAATAGAGAGTGGCTAGGGGGCAGCACCTGGAGACAGAGTGGTCAGGGTGGGTCTTTGACGAGGTGGCATTTAGGCTGAGACCCAGAGCACGAGGAGGAATCAGCCGTAGGAGAGCTGGAGAAAGTGTTACAGGCTGTAAGCAGCAAGTACAAAAACCCTGAGGCAGGACTGAGCTTGGAGCAGAAGGAAAATCTTGGTGTTGCTGTTAGGGAGTGATTGGAGCTGAGGTGAGAGGTTGGCAATGGCTAGATCTGGAAGGGCCTTAAAGGCTACTGTGAGAACTTTGGATATATTCTAAGTGTGATGGCGGGGGAGAGCAGTTTGTGGGGGGGCAGGTCTGATTTATATTTTTAAAAGCTCCCTCTGGCTACTGGGTAGAGAGGGTGGAGCTCAGCCAGAATTAGATATAGGAGGAGGCTTTTAAAAGATGTTGGCTGGGAATCCCCGGCAGCTGTAAGTTCGGAAATGAGGTTCCAAGTTCAGAGAGTAGGTGTCATCAGGATAGGGCAGGAGGGGTGGCATCTGTGGACATGTCACCCACTAGAGGTGGGTCAGAGAGGCCATAAGTTGCCCTCAGTCTGATAGAAAAATAAGAAAGTTATCTGGGTGTCTAGGGCCGGGTATCCACCCTGGGAAACTGGAAAATCTCCACTGGAAATGTGGCTGGATGTGGCTGGGACCTGTGGCCTGCTGGGAAGTCAGAGAGTCTAGGGTATCTGCCCCCCGTCCCCAGGAATCCTGCCTGTAGAACGAGGAGGGTTTGGTCACAGAATGTGAAGGAATCTGAAAATGCAGTCTAGGACAGAGAGAGGGCTAAGGTGGACTCCAAGAGAAACTCGTGTATTTATTAAATTTGTACATTAATTCAGCTAGACTGACAGAGCGCCTCCTGCATGGATAGGGGAGTGAACAAGGCAGCCTGGAAACGTCCTAGTGAGGGGGACAAGCAAGAAAGGAAGAGAATGAGGAAGAAGAGAAAGAGAGGAAAAGAGGGAGGGAGGAAGGAGTAAACAAGTAATGTTAAGTAGTGATTTTTTTCTTCTTTTTTTTCTTTTGGCCATGCCGCGTGGCATATGGGGATCTTAGTTCCTTGACCAGGGATCGAACCCGGGCCCCCTGCATAGGAAGCACAGTGTCTTAACCGCTGGACCACCAGGGAAGTCCCTAAGTAGTGATATTTTTAAAGAAATGAAAAACGGCAAGAGATAAAGAAGGGCAGAGGTGCTGATTTAGCCAGGGTGGTCTGGGGAGGCCTCTCTGAAGCCTTAGGAAGATCTCAGGGAAGACGGGCCCAGGCAAGAAGAACAGCAAGCACAAAGCCCTGAGAGAGGAATTTGCCTGGCGAGTTGGAAGGACAGAAGGAGGTCAGTGTGGCTGGAGGGGAGCGAGTGAGGGGGAGAGGGCAGAGAACAGATGAGGCCAGTTTGTTTAGGGCCTGCGGGCCAGGCTGAGGATTTGGGTCTGTACTCTGAGTGTGATGGGAGCCAGGGCAGGCTTAGCCAGGGAGAGCTGTGCTGTGACTGGGGTTTTAAAAAGAGCACACAGGCTGCTTCCGGGAGACACCTTCTATGCGGTACGTCCCTGGGCTCTGTGTCATCTGGTCATTCGTTTGCTCATCCATTCAACATGCACTGGGCTCCTGCCTTGTGCCAGCCCTGTGCTGCGTGCTGACGTTACTACAGGGCAACACTCTAAAGGGGGGAGATGGAAGCTCCTCTGGGCACCCCCTGGCTGGCCACAGGTTGGGTCCTGCCCATGGATCCATTTTATGTGGACTGCACAGTAATTGAAATTCGGGGAGATTTTTCTTAAACACCGTGACTTCTGCCTTTTTAATTTTCTTCACCCTGGAGATTTCGCTAAAGCATGCCCTGACAGGGCGACGTGCGCTAGAGCAGCAGCAGCCCCCTTGGGCATGCAGACTCCTTACCACTCTTGTTTCATGGGGTGGAGTTTGCTGCTATATGATCTTCCAATTTTTCAAGACACACCAGGCATCCACATTTTTATGTGAGGCCTGATTTTGAAACCTCACGCTGGCCACACAGAAAATGTCTGTGGCCCATGTGCCACCAGTTTGAGACTCTGTTTTAGAAGGTTTTAAAGGTCTAGAGCTCCTCTGCCTTAGGATGGAAGGAGGGGGGGTCAGTCCACAGTTTGCCTGGGGTGATCTTGGACCTCTCACCACCCCAGCCTTCACCTTCTTCGACCCCAACGACCCTGCCTGCCAGGAGATTCTGTTTGACCCGCAGACCACCATCCCTGAGCTGTTCGCCATTGTGCGCCAGTGGGTGCCCCAAGTCCAGCACAAGATTGATGTCATTGGCAATGAGGTGAGAGCGCTGGGGAAGCGAGGGAGGAGAGGAAGGGGTTCCTCATGTGTTTGGGTAACCCTCCCTGGTCCCCTGGTACTCCCAGATTCTGCGTCGAGGCTGCCACGTGAATGATCGTGATGGGCTGACCGACATGACACTGCTCCATTATGCGTGCAAGGCGGGGGCCCACGGAGTCGGTGAGGGTCCAAACCCCCAAACCTAACTGCCACGCCCAACACTCTCAGAACCCCGGCCCTCAGACCTCCATCCTGGACCCCACAGCCTAAGATCCCAAAGTGCAGTCCCTAAAGCCCTGGGCCTTCCCCATGCTCTGGGCCCACACTCTGGAGGAGGGAACCCAAGCTGACCTGGGCTGTCACGCAGGGGACCCCGCGGCGGCTGTACGCCTCTCGCAGCAGCTGCTGGCACTGGGCGCAGACGTGACCCTGCGCAGCCGCTGGACCAACATGAACGCGCTTCACTACGCGGCCTATTTTGACGTGCCGGATCTCGTGCGCGTGCTACTGAAGGGTGCACGGCCCCGAGGTGAGGAGGAAGGGCCGGGCTGGGAGGGGCAGGACCTAGGCGAGGAAGGAGGGCTGGAAGCAGAAGGAGGGTACCCAGGTGTGGGGGTAGGAGACGAGTGAGAAGGCAGGGAAGGCGACTGATGGGGCCTGGCATGGGAAGCCAGGGTGGGAGGCGGGAGGTGGGAGGTGCGGGAGAAGGAGTTCAGGGGTCCAAAACGTCAGGGCCTGGCGGGAGCTGGTTGGGATGGGGGTGGCCGAGGAGGGGCGGGGCTCTGTGTCAGAGGCTGCCGTGGGGTGGTGGGGCCTGGGGCCTGCGGGTTAAGAGATGGATGAAGAGGTGGACTTCGGAGGCTGGAAGGCAGCGGGAGGGCTGGGGTGCTGAGGGCGCTCACCCGGAACCCTCCTCTCACCCACTTCCCAGTGGTGAACTCCACGTGCAGTGACTTCAACCATGGCTCAGCCCTGCACATCGCTGCCTCCAACCTGTGCCTGGGCGCGGCCAAATGTTTGCTGGAACACGGTGCCAACCCGGCGCTTCGGGTACTGCCACCCTGGCCCAGTCCTGTTACCTTCCTTCTCCTTCCTCCCCAACCGCTTTCTGGCCAGCAGGCCTCTGCAGAGGATGGGAGCGGGGGAGGGGGCGGGGCAGGACCACTTGAGTTTCTTGAAACTCTCATTCCCCATTGGCCCAGTTGGATCCTTAACCGGTACCACAGGAGCCCATTTTCAGTGTTTGTCCTTCACATGGCCCCATTCCGGGCTTGGGGTCTTGGCCCTGAGGGCATGACCTACAGCACTGAAGTGGGACCTTCATTCCCTATTGGCTCCATACTTGACATCTCCAGCCTGAGGTCTCAGAGGTGGACTTCCCTGGGGATCGTGGGCTGTACCTTAATGCCCCACCCCTTCCTCTTTCCAAGTTGGCCCAGGGTATGACCTACTCCCACCTCTGCCTCACCTCGACCCGGGGTCTCTGGGGGCATGGGCTCAGTGGGAGTGCAGCCTATGCCGCTGAGTCTTTGCTCCCTCTCTTCCTGTTGGCCCCCAGAACCGAAAGGGACAGGTGCCAGCGGAGGTGGTCCCAGACCCCATGGACATGTCCCTGGACAAGGCAGAGGCGGCGCTGGTGGCCAAGGAGCTGCGGACGCTACTGGAGGAGGCTGTGCCGCTCTCCTGCGCCCTCCCCAAGGTTACGCTACCCAACTATGACAACGTCCCAGGCAATCTCATGCTCAGTGCACTGGGCCTGCGCTTGGGAGACCGCGTGCTACTGGATGGCCAGAAGGTCAGGGACTGGAGCAGGGAAGGGCGGGCAGGACTCAGCCCTCATCCCTCAGAGCTGGGTCTTTGGGCAGAATGCAGACTCTCCCCTTTGCCTGCCCACCCTCCCAGTCATGCACACAGTATTCATTTTGTCTAACAGTTGTTCTGTGAGTGCCTCCTTTGTGCCCCACCCAAGCTGAGCTCTCAGTCCAAGGGGGAAGACAGATCCATCTCCTGACAGTGACAGCCCAGAGCTGTCATGGCTCACGAGGAAGCACATGCAGAGTGATCAGCACAACTCTGCCCCATTTGGGTCCCCCTGGGCCTTGTGGTTCCCATCCAGGGGCCACTTGTGTTCCCAGAGTGGTCAATACTTTGCTCACTTGAAGATGCTGAGGAATGAGCCAGGAGAAGAAAGGGAGAAGGGGGCCCTAGGGAGGGGGAGCAGGTATAAAGTCCCAGAGGACAGAGAGATCTTTATTCATTCAATCATTCCAAGTTTGATTCATTTACCTGGTATCCCTCAGGCTCCATGCTGGACCCAGCCTGTCCTTGGGGATGAAGGCCTGTGTTAGCCCCAGACCTGCTCTCATAGAACTCCATTTCTATTGAGGAAGAGACAGTCAATAAAGTATACCCATAGTTAAGATAATTTCCAGTAGCAACAAAGGCTTTGAAAACCATTAAATGCTTGCATTTAATAAATTGGCCCTAGCTGAGGGCCGAGGTGGTTTTAGCTAAGGTCTTCTGAGAAGGCTTCTCTGAGGAGGTGATATCTGAGCTGAGAGGGGAAGGAGCTCACCTTGCAAAAATATGGAGACAGAGGAGATCGCAGGTACAAAGTCCCAGAGGAGGGGAGGGGTAGTGTGACTGGAGGGGAGTTATCTAGGGAGGGTGAAGTGGCGACGTTAGCAGGGGCTGGATCTCACCAGACCTGCAGGCCACTGGAGTGAATTTGAATTTTGTTTCTTTGTACAGTGAGAAGCCATAAAAGTCACATTTTGTTTCGTAATCAAGAGTTTTGCATGCATCAGCCCCACCTGGAAAGTTTCTGTACATGATTTAATCAAATCAGTGTGACAATTTTGAAAGCAGGATGGGTTGATTCTCTCCATTTTACAATATAGAAGACTGTAAGAAGCCCAAGAGGTGAAACTCTTTGTCTGAAGACATGTAATAACAATCTCTGCCTGTAGAGAAGCAGCATAGCACAGTGGTTATGAACTCAGGCTCAGGGATTTGCTCAGGCAAATCTCAGCTTTGCCACTTACCAGCTGTGGGGCCAGTGATTTCACCTCTCTGGGCATCAGCTTCTTCATCTGTAAAATGGAGCTGATAGTACCCACTTGAGGGGGGTTGTTTGAGGTTTATTTTATTTTATTTTATTTTTTTAAATGAATTTGTATTGGCATATAGTTGATTTACAATGTTGTGTTAGTTTCTGCTGAACAGCAAAGTGAATCAGTTATGTATATATCCACTCTCTTTTAAGATTATTTTCGAGGTTTAAATTAGTTAAAATGTGTAAAGCCCTTAGAATAGGGCTTGGCTCTGTGTGGCAGGCACTGTTCTGATCCCCACACCAGCTCTCCAAAGTAGGCGCTATTATTTAGCCCATTTTATAGATGAGGAACTGAGGCTTAGAGCAGTGAAGAAGCCTCACACAAATGATAATAACCACACTCACTGCAGCTAAGCAACTTCACATATGTTAAAAATGTTTCCACCAGATAACCAGCCTCTGAGGTGGACTGTGATCCCCATTTTCCAAATGAAACTGAGGCCCCGTGAGGTCCCTTTACCAAAGTTACAGGATAATAATAGGCAACACTTACTGATCCCTTACTCAGCACCAGGCCCTGTTCTGAGGGCTTTTATGTCTCTATAGCATTCATGTCCAGTAGACCTTTTTGTGAGATTGGAAATGTTCTATGTCTGTGTAGTCCAGTGAACTAGCCATGAGCCACATGTGGATATTAAGCACTTGAAGTGTGGCTAGTGTGATTGGAGAAATGATATTTTAATTTAATTTTAGTTAATTTAAATTGTCATATGTGGCTAGTGGCCGTGTACTGCGTCGGACAGCGCAGCTCTGTAACAATCCTGTAAGGTGGGTGAGATTTCTGTTCCCATTTCGCAGATGAGGACATCGAGGCACAGTTAAGTTATACAACCAGTGAATGGTGATGTCCAAGCTGAGATTTAAGCCTGGGGCTCCCTCGTCCATCCCACCATGCCACCTGTGTGCCGGTGATCTTATCGGCCTCTCAAGGTGCACCCAAGCCATTTCCTCCCTTGTTTCCTCAGACGGGCACACTGCGGTTCTGCGGGACCACGGAGTTCGCCAGCGGCCAGTGGGTGGGCGTGGAACTGGATGAACCTGAGGGCAAGAATGATGGCAGTGTTGGGGGTGTCCGGTACTTCATCTGCCCTCCCAAGCAGGGTCAGTCCCACTGGGGCCCAGAAGGTGATGGTGGGGTCCACTCAGTAGTTCTGCTGCTGAGTGCTGGGGTTGGGAGGTGATGAGGGGGGTCAGAGGGCAGAGGCTTGGACAACTCCCAGCCCAGGCTCTGTCCCCCCAGGTCTCTTTGCCTCTGTGTCCAAGATCTCCAAGGCAGTGGATGCACCTCCCTCATCTGTCACCTCCACACCGCGGACTCCCCGGATGGACTTCTCCCGTGTCACAGGCAAAGGCCGCAGGGAACACAAAGGTCAGAGGGGGAGCTCTAGGGGTGACGAGAGCCATTCTTGAGGATATTCTGTGGATAGCCCAGCTTCTGTGACTCAGTTTCTCCTCAGGCTCAAACTCCCATTTTAGAGGATGACCTCTGAGTTCCTGACTTTTGTGCCTCAGTTTCTCCTTTGACTCAGTACTGGTCCCACCCAGTTCTTGCAAGGACCTGTGTGTTCCCTGCCCCCATGACTTAGTTTCCCCTTAGAGCCAAAGGTTTTCTCCCAGTTTTAGGGAAGAATCTATGGGGCTCCTGGCTTTAGTGACTTGATTTATCCTCAGACCTAACTCCCCCCTTCATTTTAAAAGGACAGTTTCTGGGTTTCTGACTTCTGAGACTCAGTTTTCCCCTTGGCCCAAATATCTTCAACTTTGAGAAAGAGTTTTGAGGTTCTGTAGGTTCTTGACTTAGTTGTCCCTCAGGCCCAAAGCCCCCACCCCCATTCTCTGGCAGCTGGGATTGTTTCCTTTCAAGCCCACCCCGCCAACCCCATTTCAGGGGAAGGCTCGTCTCATTTGAACCAGGATAGTTTCTACCTTGTGGCTTTCTGGGTGACACGGGGCCCCCAGGGCTGGCATCTGGAGGCCTCACCCTCACCCCTTGTCCCCTTCCCGCCAGGTAAGAAGAAGCCCTCATCATCCCCATCTCTGGGCAGCCTGCAGCAGCGTGAAGGAGCTAAGGCTGAGGTTGGAGACCAAGTGCTCGTCGCAGGCCAGAAGCAAGGGATCGTGCGTTTCTATGGGAAGACAGACTTTGCCCCAGGTGAGGATAGCTATCTGGGCTGGGGGCAGGCAGGGCCTTGAGGCATCCTGACACTCTCCTGTTGCAGGTTACTGGTACGGCATAGAGCTAGACCAGCCCACCGGCAAACATGATGGCTCTGTCTTTGGTGTCCGGTACTTCACCTGCCCCCCACGGCATGGAGTCTTTGCACCAGCATCTCGAATTCAGAGGTGAGCCCAAACTCTGGTCACAACTCAGGGCACCACCCAGAATCCTGATCCCCTGCTTGGATGTCTCCTTCTCTTGGACCAGGAGGACAGTGTGGATATCCACCCCCACACCCTAGCTCTTTCGTTGTAGGCCCCCCGGGGCTCCGCTCCTGGTCAGACCCTGGCCTCTTGTGGCTCTGACTCCTCCCACTCCTCGTGTCTCCCCAGGATTGGTGGATCCACTGACCCCCCTGGGGATAACGTTGGAGCCAAAAAAGTACATCAAGTGACAAGTGAGTTGGGGGCTGGCTGTGGGAGGAGTGTGGATTTGGGGATAGGAAGAAAGGTCTTGGGTCCTCAGGTATATGCTGGTGACAGAATCTCCAGTATTTAATTGGGGACACAGGGTCCAGGAAAATGATGAGACAGGATCCCCAAAAGGATGGGCGCTATAGGGATGGGGATGTTAACGACAAGGCTCTGAGCAGGCACCGGGGACATGGGTAGGTCTTGGAGGACACAGGGAATATTATTGACAAGAGGTCTAGATGGCTATTGGGAATGTAGGATATTGGGGACGTGGATAAATATTAATGAAAAAGAGTCTGGGTAGATATTGAGGACAGAAGTGGGTCTATCATCCCCTCACCTGAGACCTTGCCCTTCCCTTCAGTGACGCAGCCCAAACGCACCTTCACAACAGTCCGGACCCCAAAGGACATCGCATCAGAGAACTCCATCTCCAGGTACGTAGCAACCCTTGGTCCCCCTCTCCTGTGGGATATTCAGGGAGAGGCATCCACCAGGCCATTGGACACAGGGAGTCTGGAGTTCTGGGTTGGGGCTGGAAATAGAAGTTAGGAAAACATACGACTAGTTAGCTTACCCAGAAGCAGTCTTTAGGGAGTGAGGCGCCATAGTGAATTCTGGTGACTTCAACTTTTATATATATATATATTTGGCTGCGCCGGGCCTGGGCCCCCTGTGTTGTGAGCACAGAGGCTTAACCACTGGACCACCAGGGAAATCCCTGGTGACTTCAACTTTTAAGGGGCAGGTAAAAGAGACAGAACACCTTCGGCTCCACGGGAGCCTGAGAGGGCACAGCTGGAGAGACAGAGGCAGAATCCAGAAAGGCCAAATCCCAGACACTCGGGGAAGAGCTGGGTGGTGATGGATCCAGATGCTTCCGCATCCTGCACCAGCGTGTGACACAGTTCTCTTCCCCAGGTTGCTCTTCTGTTGCTGGTTTCCCTGGATGCTGAGGGCGGAGATGCAGTCTTAGAGGCTCTGGACATCTGAGAGAGACACAGAGCCTCCTCTAGCATCTCCTGATACAAGGAGCCCCCGAGTCACCCTGAGATAGAGATTCCCAGTAACACGTCCAGAATAGAGACCCCCATTAGCCAGCCCTCGTTCACTGAGGCCCCATTATTAACAGATTCCCTCATGATAACCCCCCAAATACAGACCCTATGTTACCCAGAAAGAGATTCCCTAAGTGTAGTACCTTCAGGCTAGTCCCAACCCCTCAGAGGAGACCCCCCCAATAACAGATTTCCACATCACCCCAAATGACGGTGACTTTCTCTACATAATGCTCCACAGCAGAACATTCCTGAGTCACTAGTCACTGGATCAGAACCCTTCCCTGTTAACAAAGGTCCCCCCCCCACCATCAAGTCCCCTTGAAAGAAACACCTCCAAAGCAACAGTAACAAACCCACATTTAATGTCAGTCCCCTCAAGATGTTGTGACCCCCGTGGTCACCCCAAACCCCCTACACTGCAATCAGAGACTCCCTCCATTAACGAACCCCCCTGCTCTTACCCCTCAAGAAGAGACCCACATTAACCAGCCCACTGTCACCCCCAATTTACAGATACCAAAACAGTACTGGAAGTGCTAATTACAGGACCCCCAAGTCTTCCTATCCTCTGCACCAAGAAACCCCCAGTGCCTTGTACGAAGCCCACCCCATGCGGCCCACAGCACCTGTGCTGGCCAGGCTCCCAGAAAATTCTCTATTTTTAAAGTAATTATTTCCCCCTTTGGGGGGACCCCAAAATTTGGAGGTCCCATTCTGGGACTCTGAGGATCCAAACCCCAGAGTACATGTCCTAAACTCCCCTGTGCCCGCAAGTCCTAGAGCCCCTAGGAGACCCCAAAGCCCTAACTCCCAGGATCCCCAAATCATGGAATCCCCAAATCCCCAGGGAATCCCAAATTTTAAAAATCCAATCCCAAACCCCCAGGAAACCTCAATCATGGAGGTTCTTGTGCCTGGGATGGAGGAGATACGCATCCTGGGCCCCCAGGGCACCTCAAGCCCTATTCATAGGCACCAGAAACCCCAAACAGGAATTCTCATCCCTGGAAACCAGAGGACTTCAATGCCCTGAGTCCATGGATCTCAAGACACCCAAATTCCAAGAGCCCCAGCCCCAAGGGAACCCCAAATCCTCAAGCCTCCATCTCATACATGAGGGGCATCAAGGCCTTGAGGGGATCCCAAATCCTGGAGTCCCCATTTCAATCTACATTCTGGTCACAGGTCCAAAACACCAAATCTAAGTTACTGGCCCTGAAGGACCTCAGAGCACCCTGGCCAGACTAACAGCCCGACGGAGACCCTGAAGGCCCAGGGGTCCAGGGCAGACCTGGGGCCCTGAAAACCAAGGACAGCTCACGACTGCCCCTTCACTGCATGTCCCCAAACTCAGCATGACCCCTACCCCCTTCAATAAAGACGTTTCTACGGCTCTCTGTGTCGGGTCGGTGTTTAGGGAGTTACGGCCCTGCCTCCGTACCCTTGCTGGGTACAGCAATCTCGCATCCCTGCGGCTTTATATAGGATGGCCTAACCTGCGGGGAGTCCTTCCAACCATCGCATTTTTCCTGTGCCGCCACGGCTGCCCCTCCTTTCTGGGCTCTCCGCAGCGTGGACAGGTTCGATTCTGGAGCTCTGATTGGTCGATGCCAGACGAAGACCCGTCTCTGAAGGGGCCCCAGTGGCTCAGAGGCCGGGAGGCACAGCCTGTCACCGAAGGAGGGCGAGGGGGCGGAACAACAGTGTGTGAGAGCGCCGATTGGGTGGAAGGAGGAGCCTTAGAGCCTTTGAGAATTCCCATTGGTCTGAGAATTCCTGCGTCGGCCATGTGGGTAGGAAGTGGCTGGGAAGGGAATGGGGGTGTTGAATTTGGATTTTGGAGGGGTCACTGGTGGACGGTCAGTTTGGGGCGCCGAGGGCGGAGATGGGGGTCCAAGAGGGCTGAGAGTGGGGATCCGGGGAAGCTCAGATGGGAGTCCGAGGAAGCTCAAAGTGTGGGGTTCTAGAAGACAGAGTCGGGGGAACCAAGGGGTTCAGGGAGGGAAGGTGTGAGAGGGGTCAGGCTCAGGGTCAAAGGTCCAAGGGGGCTGCAGGGAAGGGGCGCTCGGGAAGAGAAGTCTGAGGGGAGTCTAGAGTGGGGAGGATACAAGGAGACTGAAAATGGATGTGTCTGAGGAAGCTTAGATTGGGGGCACAAGCGTGCTCAGAATGGGGCGTCTGAAAAGGCTTGAGGCGGGAGGAGGGTCTATGAGGACCTCGAATATTGTTAGAGAGCCGGGCTCGGGATTGCAGGTCTGAAGTTTTTAGGATGAGGTCTCAAATGAAGGTGTTTAAAGGGGGTCTGGGGTGCAGCCCTGGGGGATACGTGTGGAGCTCTTAAGAAAGGCTCCCGGTGGAGTCTGAGGCTGTTCTCTGTAGAGGCTTGAGACGGCAGACGTGTGTAATTTGATGGGTATTTGGTGGATGGAGTCTGGGGGGAGTACTGTGGGTGCTCACTGTGTCTGGGCAGGGAGCCTAGGGGTGCACTGAGTGGCTTTTGAGATGCTGAGGACGTCTAGGTTTTCGAAACCAAGTGAGTTTCACTAGAGGGCTGAGGTGAGGCCCTGGCCCATGATGAGACCAGAAAGCTGGATCACAGCCTGCGGGTGGGAGGCTTGCTGATTTCAGCATGTTCTCGCCTCCCCACAGGAATGACCGGGTACACGGACTTGATGTCAATGGAGGATCAGGACGCCAGGGTTCCAGCTCTGGAACCATTCAGGGTGGAGCAGGTTGTCAGCACCGGGGGTGCAGAGGGTGAAGGTGGGAACTAGAGGGCGGGAGATAGAGTGGGGATAGGCAGGCTGACTCCTGGGTTTGTGGGCTGGGACTGCCCCCTCCCTCTCAATTCATCCTTACCCTCAGGGTCTAGCCCTACCCTCACCCCCACCTCCCCATCCCCCAAATAGCCATTGGTCCCTCAACTTAAGGCCCTGGCCTGTCTGGGGACATCCTGAGCTACGCTCCAGAGGAGGGGCTGCTCATGGATGGCAGCATTCCTGTGTGGGTCCAAAGGTCACACCTTCAGGGGGGATCTCTCTATCCTAGGCACCACCTGTAATCTACTATGTCCCCGACTTCATCTCCAAGGAAGAGGAGGAGTATTTGCTTCGACAGGTGACCTGTTTATCCCCTCTTCCCAGAACCCTCTTCAACCCCCAGTTCTCGTAGGAGAGCCCGAAAGGTCACAGTGAGGATTCTTGCAGGAGGGAGAGTGCCACCTGGCACCCATCCCTCACCACCTTCCCTATTCCTTTCTCAGTACCTGCTGGGGCCTGTCAGAAAGGGCTTTTCCCAGGAAGCTTAGGGGAAACCAAACTGATTCTTTTTTTTTTTTTTGGCCACGCCACGCGGCTTGTGGGATCTCATTCCCCTAGGGATTGAACCTGGGCCATGGCAATGAAAGTACCGAATCCTAACCACTAGACCACCAGGGAACTCCCCAAACTGATTCTTAGAAAGGTGGTGGTTATTATGGAGCTCAGACTCCCTGTACTAAGACAGCCCTATCCGGCTACCTTAGAGAGAAGGAGGTTATAACATAGGCTGAGATAGCCCAGTTCACTCCCTTGAGATTTGGGGCATGAAGAAGTTACAGTGTTCAGATTTCTGTGCTGAGATAACCCAGGCCTCAGAATGTTAAACGCTTCCCTATGCTGATAGCTCAGCATAGACCCAGAGTCCTGGGAACAAGGTTACCAAGCACAGACCACCTGTGTTAGATAGCCCAGTCTGTACTCTATTCTTAAGGTCTGGGGAAAGGAGAATTTTACGAAGCTCAGAGTCTGTGCACTGGGATAGTCCTTTGCAGCCCCAGAGCCTTGGTTATAGAGCACAGATCTTCCCTGTGCTATCCCAACTAGTCCTGTCTAGTTTGAGTCCCAGGAATGAGTTAGCTCCAAAACTCAGACTCTCATACTGAGACAGCCGCTTCCAGCCCCGTAACAATGAAGGAAATAAGGAGATTTCTTAGACTTTTTGAGATAACCCTTTTTAGACCCTTGGGGTCTTGGCAGTGGAGAATTTTCAACGTACTCTCTTGGCTATACTGAATAGCCCAGTTGAGCACGTTTTCTCCCCCAGGCAAGAGGAACAAGGAGGTTCCAGGACTCAGACTGTGCTGAGATAGCCCAGGAATCACGAAATTACAGAGTGCAGACTGTTTGCTGGGCTGAAAGAGCCCAACCCAGCCCAGAGCTCTGAGTAGACTCAGACCCTGATTGTGTAGCTCTGGTTCCCTCCCTCAATCCCTAGACACAGAGGGGCTTTGAGGCCAGCGGCCTCCACAGGGGGAAAGGGCAAGAACAAAATCCTGGGAACACTGTCTCGGAGAATGATCCCACAGACACTGAGATGACCCATTTCCACCCTAGGTGAAAACCCCTATGTTGGCCTGGGTGGGAGAATCAGAGAGGGTGGTCCTGGAAAAGGACTGACCCCCTTCCCACCTCCCAGGTCTTCAATGCCCCAAAACCAAAGTGGACCCAGCTCTCCGGGAGGAAGTTACAGAACTGGGGTAAGTGTCTCCGGCTGTGGGCATGGGTGATTTAGGGCTGGGGACTGGGGTAGGCAGCTCAGGTTGGATAGTCTCGGGACATTGAGGCGTCAGGGTGCGGGGGGGAGGTCCTTGAGGGTTCAAGGGGTCCCAAGGGCCAGGAGGATTCTCAGGGGTCAGTGGAGGTCCTGAGGGCTTAGGGATTTCCTGATGAGTTGGAGGGTATCTCTAGGGGTTTGGAGAAGTCAGGAAACCTTTGAAGGGTGGAGTGGTGATCTCCAAAGAGTTAGGGGTCCCCGAGGAGGTCAGAGTGCTACCAACCACTGGGATATCCCTAATGGGGGCTCCACATGCCAGAGCTCCTTGTTGGGTGCCCTCAGCACCCCATTTCCCTCCCCCAGGTGGGCTCCCCCATCCCCGGGGGATGGTTCCTGAGCGGCTGCCACCGTGGCTCCAGCGTTACGTGGACAAAGTGTCTGACCTCAGCCTTTTTGGGGGTCTCCCAGCCAACCACGTCCTTGTGAACCAGTATCTGCCTGGGGAGGGCATCATGGTAACCACACTCTCACCCCGACCCCCAGACCTCGGATCCATCATGGGGCAGGGCATCCTGTCGACCCACATCCACTCTCATTAAGCAGCCACATACCCCAAGCAAACACTCACCTCCCTGTCCCCAGCTGGGGAGCCCCGCTTTCACCTGAGGGTGGGGGTGTGTGGACTCCTGCCCTGTCCAGCCCTGGTACCCACTCCCCAGCCCCACGAGGATGGGCCACTGTACTACCCGACTGTCAGCACCATCAGCTTGGGCTCCCACACCATGCTGGACCTCTACGAGCCTCGGCAGCCAGAGGACGATGACCCTACAGAGCAGGTGGGCCCTGAGACATCGCCCCATATCCTCTAAGAGGCCCCATATCCTCTAAGAGGCCCCAATCCCACCTGCCTGCGGGGTACCCCTGATACCCTTCCAGACATCTTCCTCTGTCCCCTCATGGAGGGCACCCACATCCGCCCAGATGCCCAGCCCATCTGCCTGCAGGGTGCCCTAGAAATCATGATATCCACAGGTACCCCAGTACCCCCATCTGCTGAATGAATATCCTGACATCCTACAGATCCCCTGGCTCCATACATTCAGAGCGCTCCAATACCGCATGCAGGGCTCCCCAGTTCTCCAACTGATATCCTCAGCTACCCCAACACCAGCCACTCAGGGTTGTCGCTGACATCCTGTCAGACACCCTTTCAGTGGCCACTGCACAGGCACCCCAACACTGACTTCCTACCTCCCCCTCCACTAATGTGATCTGTCATGCAGGACACCCCCAGATTCTCCTTGGCACCTCAACACATGACTTGCTGCTCAAGGGCCCCCAGATATCCTGCCTCCCCTCTGTGTTGCTCATGACAGCAGCTTCCCTGACCTCTTTCTTTGTTGTATGTCTGACACCCCCTGGACACCCTGACACCAACTGCTCCTTTCGGCTGCCCTTTTTAATCCTACATGCTCCTAGATGCACTGACACCCCCTCCCACTCTGCTGGTGTCCTCAAAACATCCTGATATCCGCACATCCTCCCAGACCACACCTGTTCATCTCTTCCTCCCTTCCTGGCTTCAGCCAAGTCCTCAGCCCAGTTCCACTCAGTTTCCTGGGACCACTGATCCCTCGGTCCCAGCCCCAGCTCCTTGCAGAGCCCAGCTGCAGTTCCCTTAGGCCCTTAGACACCCCCATCTGCAGCCTAGTCCCTGCCGAGGGGCTGCTGACACCCCACCACCACCCCGTCTCCACTTCCCTGGAAGCCTGGCCCTGGCCCCCGCGGGATTTTCTCTCCAAAGCCTCGATCCCTAGGAGCACACTTGCCCCTCAGCCTTTGCCCCTGGGACTCGCTGACCCTCGCCCCTGAACCCCCAAACCCGCTGACCTCTCGCCCACCCCACTCCTAACTTCTGGGGACCCGCTAACCTTCAACCCGCCCCGCAGCCCCGGCCCCCGCCCCGGCCGGCCACCTCGCTGTTGCTTGAACCGCGCAGCCTGCTGGTGCTCCGTGGCACCGCCTACACGCGCCTCCTCCACGGCATCGCAGCCGCCAGCGTAGACGCGCTCGACGCCGCCTCCCTGCCGCGAAACGCAGCCGCTTGCCCCTCGGCGCAAGCCGGAGCCCGCTTGGTCCGCGGCACCCGCGTCTCGCTGACCATCCGCCGCGTACCCCGCGTGCTGCGCGCTGGCCTCCTGCTCAGCAAGTGACGCCAGGACCCAGGACCCGCTCGGATTCCCGAGCTCTCGCCTGCTCTGGACTGCTGGCTCCCTGTGGGCAGAGGCGGTTCCCCCCGGGTTATTTTCCCAGTACCTGTGAGGGAACCACAGGAAAAGGCCCCATTCCGAATAAACCACCAACAAAACAATCTTACTCTGGTTTTGGACATTTGGGGGTGGGGGGCCAGATGTTTGGGTACCTGAGGGGCGCTGCGTCCGGGACCTTAGATGGATGGTGTGGGCTGCCGAGGTCAGATGTTCGGGTCACAGAGTGGAGAAGAACCCAGGGCTCTTGAGGGGCAGGGTTATATCTGGAAACCCCTTAGGTGGGTGGGGTGAGCTTGGGAGGTTCAGCTACTGGTCCGCTGGGGAGGAAGGAGTTAAGTGGTGCTACTATCACCTGAGCTGGGCATCAAATTACCTGGGTCCAGGTTCCTCCTAGAAAGAGGTGGAGCTGAGCCTGCCCCTGGGCTTCTGGCTGCCTCAGGCCTGGGTGAGTCCTACTGAGGAAGTCTGGGAGGATAGGAAAAGGGCTTCTACTCACTGACTCTCTGTCCTCAGGCTCCCCAATATGGCCCTGCCCCCACGCCTGGGCCCTACACCCCCCTCAGAGCCCTTCAGCCACCCGCCTGGAGCCCCTAGGGAACTGAACACATCTGGATGCACCATCTGCTCCACCTCTGGAGAGGAGAGAATCAGGTACGAGCTGGGGCTTTTGAAACTGTGGTCCCCAAAGGGTGGAGGCAGTAGCAGGGGCCTTTTGAGGGTAGAAGGTATTGTAGCTAAGATCACCTGGGGACACGAGAGAGGTAACTGGGGACAGGGGTAGGGTAGGGTGGATAACGGGCACCTAGGCTCACCCAGGGGCCTGTCAATGCCGCCCCCCCCCCCACCATCCCAGGTCAGAACAGGCCCAGAAGCTGGGGCAGGACTCCTTGGACCCTCCCGAGCCCTTCCAGGGTGGGCCGAGGGGCACTGAGCTTGCTGCTGGCCTCCCCAGATTGCCAACGCCCCCTTCTCATGAGGACTCGGCTGGGGCCAAACACCGTGAGGTGAGCTGAGGTGAACTAGGCCCCTGTGCCAGCCCCTACTTCCTGTCTGTCTCCCAGGATCTGGCTTCCACACCGGGGATGAGGTGATGATTCTGGAAAAGTGTTGGGCATCTGTGTGGGGAGGGATGCTCTAGACAATGATTCTTTAACTATCACTATTCAGTATTTTACCAACTGAGAGAGAATTCTTTCATCATTGGCCCTGGTGTAGCCCCATTCCTCGTGGGGCTATCCAGCTCCATCACCCTCTCCCTCTCCAGAGCCCCAGGCCCTATACGTACAAGTTTCTAGGAGCCTTGAAAACCTGGAGAATTTGAACTAGAGGTTCTCAGGCCTGGCTCCACTGGGAAGTTTCTCTAGGTGGGAGCAACCCTGGTGCAGACCCAGAGATGGACTCTGCTGCAGAGAAGCACCCAGAGGGCAGGAGCCTGGGTGCAATGGGTGCGGGCCAGGCCTTGGTTGGCTCACTGGCTCTGACTCAGCCCCCTGTGTTCCCCAGCGCCCCATCTCTGGCTGGGGATTAGAGGCTGAGCAGGACAGCCTGCATCTTTGCCTTTTGGGGCTGGGCCTCCGGCTGCAGGACCTGGAGCAAGGCCTGGGGCCCTGGGCATCAGCCCAGAGCAGGATGGTCCAGCTGCAGGTGAGCAGTGGGAAGCCAAGACGTGGGAGGGTGGGCAGGGCCTCAGGAGTGGGTGCCAGCTTCCCAGGGTGGGAAATGGGTTTATTCCATGTTCCAGGTGTCTGGACGGCAGAGGGGGTGGGGATAATGACTCCAGGTCTCAGGTCTCTGGTGCCCCTGCTGTGTGTGTATGGAGGCGGGGGGTGGGGATGGGCTGGTGTGGTGTTGGTGATGTCCAACCATGTGTACCCAGGCCCTACAGGCAGACCTGCGTGGGGCAGCTGAGCGTTTAGATGCACTGCTGGTGTTCGGTGAGGGGCTGGCACAGCGGAGTGAGCCTCAGGCCCGGGCATCCCTGGAGCAGGTCCTGAGGGCCTTCAGAGCCCACCGAGACAGCATCCTCCGGCAGCTGTGGCGGCTGCAGGCCCAGCTGGTCAGCTACAGCCTGGTATGGCCCACCCTGGCGGTCCCTGGCGCAGGCGCCGATCCCAACCCTCATGACCTCTGTCCTCTGACCAGGTGTTTGAGGAGGCCAGCACACTGGAGCAGGACTTGGAGGTCGAGGGGGACTCAGACGGGCCAGGACCTGGTGGGGTCTGGGGGCCCTGGGCACCCAGTAGCCTCCCCACTCCCGCAGAGTTGGAGTGGGACCCGGCGGGGGACGTTGGGGATCTCGGGCCTTTGGGGCAAAGGACAGCCTGGACACCAGGGACTCCCTGTGAGCTGTGTGGCCGCAGGGGCCCCCAGGGCAGGGGACAAAGCCTTGAGGTGAGAGCAGGTGGGGTCACCTCCCCCCAGGCACCCAAGGGACCCTCTGTGTGTCTCCTAGCAGGGCCCTTTTTCCCTTTCGAGGAGGTCTTCATGGCTCTGTCTCTCCCGGTGTCTCTTTCGCTTTTGGTGTCTCAGTGGTCCCCTCCCTCATCCCTCTGCCTCTCTTGGCCTCCAGGTGTCTCTGTTGTACCTATATTTACTCATTTCCTCTCACTCTCCCCCTCACTTACCCCACCACAGCCACACTAGCCTCCTGGCTCTTCAAATATTCCAAATACACTCCCATCTCGAAGCTCCCAGAGGCACACCGAGCTCACCTCCTCACTTCATTCCATCCAGTCTCTCCTCAAATGTTACCTCTTCAGAGAGGCCTGCCCTGGCCTCCAAACATTATCACTCCTTATCCTCTTATTTTATTTCCTAACAGCACTTACCACATCTTGACATTATACATTTATTAACTTATGGTCTCTCTCTCTCCTACTAGAATATAAACTCAATGGACGCCAGGACTTTGCCTGTTTCCATGCTCACAGTGTCCCCAGCTCCTAGAATAGCACCTGGCATGTAACAGATGCTCATTAAATATTTGTTGAATGAATGAATAAATAATGTCTCTCTTCTCTTGGTTTCTTTGGCTCTGCCCCTCTCTTCATCTCTCCCTGAGATCTCTCTCTTCCCACAGAATCTAATCTCTGTGACACTTCCCCCCTCTTGGCCCTTCCCCAACTTTGTGTCTCTTTGTCACTGATTCTCCAAGGACCCCACTCCTCTCTCTCCCCACAGGACATGCTCATGTCAGGCCTCAGCCACCGGAAACACTTAACAGGTCACCGAAGACGGTCCCTGCTCCGGAAGTCTCAGGTGAGTTGGTCCTCGGCCAGGTGTATCACTCAGGAATGTTGACGGCAAGGGACAGCAACCCGACCCAAATTGAATTACACACAAAAAAGAGAATGCTGTTTTTTTCATGTAACTGAAAAGTCCAGGTGGTGTTGAATTCAAGACCTCAAATACTGTCAGGGCTCAGTCCCTCCCTGTCTTGGGCTCTACTTCTCCAAGGTGGATTCCTTCTCAGCAAAATGGCTGCCCCAGCAGCTACACACTCACTTCCCACTGGCTTACCCACCCCAGGAGGAGAGAGTGCCACTGACCTACGGCAGCCAAGTCCTAGGGCTGACTTCTGCTTCCCCAGCTTGGGTCATGGCCTACACCCTGAACCAATCACAGTAGCCAAGCTGATGGAGGGCTCTGGTTGGCCAGATCTGGGTCACATGCCTAACCATGGAGGTGGAGTTCTGAGTTCAGGAAAGTAGGGAGGTATGATACCCTTCTCCCCAAACTGAACCACTGTTACCAGGAAAAGGGAGACTGCTTGGAGGGCAGGCACTGACAGACATCCACTATACCTGGAGATATTCCAAGTCCATGTGGGGTCTTGGGGATGGAGGGAGTGCTAGGAAAGGAGGAGAAATAAGCCCAGCTCTGTAGGTCTGTGGGAGTAAGGTAAAGACCACATTAAATATCACTTCCACCCATTCTACTGCTGGCTGCTCTCTACCTTTAGGACAAGATGAGGCAAGCATCTCCCAATGTCCAGGATGTGATGCTGGAGGTAGACCCTGGGTGAGATGCCTGGGAGATGGGTCTGGGGGTGTGGGGGTAGGGCTCATGGTGGCAGCCCACCCATACATTGACCACTGCATTTCCCTTTGCAGATCCCCCACTCCTGCATCCAGGCGGCCCCTGACCTTCCTCCTCCTCCTCCTTTTCCTTCTGCTGGTGGGTGCCACATTGCTCCTGCCCATGTCAGGGGGCTCCTGCTGCTCTCCTGCCCGACTGGCCAGGACACCTTACCTGGTGCTCAGCTATGTCAATGGTCCTCCCCCAATCTGACTACACAGTCCAGACATATGTAATAAATGGTCACTGTCAAAGGATGTGTCTTAGTCTGTTCGGGCTGCTATAACAAAATAACATAGACTGGTGGCTTATAAACAATAGAAATTGATCTTTCACAGTTCTGGAGGTTGTAAAGTCCAAGATCAAGGTGCCTGTAGATTCAGTGTCTGATGAGGACCCACTTCCTGGTTCATAGACGGCTGTCTTTTCACTGTATCTGCACATAGAAGAAGGGGCAGAGAATCCTCTGGGGGGTCTCTTTTATAAGGGCACTAATCCCTTTCATGAGGGCTCCATCCTCATGACCTAATCACCTCCCAAAGGCCTCACCTCCTAATACTATCACTTTGGGGGTTGGGATTTCAACATATGAATTTTGAGGGGACACAAACATTCAGTCTATAGCAGGATATGTGGGGATATTGGGTGCTTGAGTACTGAGAATCTTGGGTATGGCCCTGGTACATCTGCACAGCCCCCTCCACAGATCCCTTTGCCTTGAGCACAGAACATGGAACTGAATCAGCCCATCTTGGGTTGGGTTCCCCCAGACCCTGAGACAAAGATTCAAGCACAGGTAGTTTTTTAGGGAGTTGATCCTAGGCAAATGGATAGGGGAATGGGAAGTGAGCCATGGAAAGGAGTTAATGAGCTGGTTGCTGCTCTGGGCACCTACAGTGCCATCCCCCTAGGGACCTCTGGGAGACTGTGAGACACACTCAAAGTTGTCCCACCCAAGAGGTGAAGAAGTTGTGGCATATATGTACCAGCTCCCATCTTTCATTGGTTAAGGACTATTCCTAGAGATATTAACTCCCCAGCACTTCCAGCCTCTCCTGCCTCAGGCAAAGAGGCACAGGTGCTTGCTACAGGATGCTAGAGGAGGGATGCAGGTATGCAGGAGGGGTGCAGGTGATGTTGGTGCTGGGTTGCCGACAGCACTTGCTATAGCCCCTGACCTGCATTCATCCACGTGCTCTGTTCAAACACTCCACGTGGTGGGCTCCCAGGCTGGCCATCACTGATGCACGACTGTGAAAGCCCCCTTCTCC